TGCTGTAACCCCGAGCCATCTCCCCCCCCCCCGTGTGTTGCTTGTTTTTTTGGTTTTGGGCCCGTGATATTCTCTTTGTGATTGGTTTGCAGTTTTTTTTCACGGACGTAGTCTGCGAAGCAGTCAACTACCGACTGCTTTGCCGGTGGCAAGCTGATTGTCATTGTGCGCACTGGGCTTGAGTCACATAGCAACACGTAATTCATGAGTTCTGATCCAAATGCTCAACCCTTTGACCTCCCTGTTATAACCACCTATCATATTGCGAGTTGGTTTCCTCCAGGCCATTTTACATACCCCAGTTAATCCCGTGCAATCCTGTCACAGTTCCGCACATCCGACATTCTCGTGAATGAGTAAATTTGTTTTTCCTTCTGGATTTACAGAAACTAGCCAAATTGCTTCGTAGTCGAAATCCTGCCGATGTGGCGGAGGCCAATCGACTTATCAAGAAAATAGTTGAAGAGGTGAGACATCCATCTTTGTGTGCCCTAGCCTATTTTCCTTGCCACTGTTAGATTGAATGTGACTTGATTTGCCTTTGCTTCTCCGTTCAGTCGGTCCCCATTCATTCCTGAAAACCCGTTTGCCTGCTGGCATACTTAGCGTTCTTTCCCAAGTTGCCAGATTTTGGGCTTTTCCAACAGAATTGCAGGTATTCATGGCACACTGCTGTACCGAGCTCAACAGAACCATTGGAATGATGAATTCGTAAATCCAAAGAGGTTTGATTTGTCAGGGATACTTTACATTTAGCTCTAGGAACGCGCCTCGTAATTAATGTTGTGCCTTTGAGAAAAGCCAGTTATCACCGAATCTCTCACGCAAAGATGGAATCAAACTTTTTTTTCACTCTTTTCAGCCTGTGTGATCATGATTATCATTTATGTTTACAGTGAAATTCAGAAGTAGGTAAACTGCCACCTGGTGCGAGGCTCCCCCCGCCGAATCTTTTGACAACCACACCTGGGCAACCCACTTGATGCAACTTTCTTTGTAGTTTTCATGTGCAGTTTTGAGTGGCATTCACTTTAGTAGCTGTTCGTTGTGTTGGACTCTGTGACTCATGTACTCTGAACTCATAATGTGTGCTCTTGTTCTCCTTTCCAAGGACCAAGTTCGAACTGAAAAGGTCATAAAACGGTCAACAGAAATGGAAACTCTGAAAAACAACACACTTTTGCTTCAAGAGATGATCTCAAATTTTGAGAAGGGTGGTGCTTCGGAAGCTGAACATGACTTGATGAATGTAAGTTGACATGAATTCGTCCCTTAACCGTGCTTCTCCCCTGTGAATGATCGAAACTGGGTCAGCTGTATTGGGTAAGCCAATGAAAATACTGTGAAACAGGTGGATTAATTTGGGGCCTAAGCGGATGTTCCTTGTGTCTGTCACCTCCAAGATTAAGACGTCTTGGTTATGCAGTAACGGCTCTCTACAGCGACCATCTATCCACGTTGGCCGACCGATTCCGTCAAATCCATGTTAAAGCCGTAGAATGGGTTCCCACCTTCTCGTGTATTGAATTTATCCCCACATCTGTTAAAAGTAAATACTACCTCAATTCACGAATTGAGTTTGAATTACCACAGCCGACCTCTTGGGGTGAAATTCCTCGATTAGGCGCTGCAATGTTTACTATACGGAAGATTAGTGTTTATCTTGTGAGAACATTCACTTACACATGTGAATTTCGTCATCTGTTTAGCCGTCATCAGTTTTCACTTTGTTTATTTCCATTTTCTCGGCCCGTTTTTTACTTTGTCTTAACTAAGGGGTTACAAATTAACTGTGGAGTTCGTAGCATTTATATGACAGTCATTCTTCGGCGTTTCTCGTTAGCTATTAGGCCTTTTGAACTCCCGTATCCCTTTTTTCAACAGCCTGAATAGCGCGACGACAGTTCTGTTAGGGTGTTAGAGATCTGCCATGCCTCTAACAAATTGCTGTGTTGCTGCTAACTACCTCATTAGATTGGAGTACAGCTCATAGCCTCAGTATTTAGTTCGGTGTACCAAATGCTTGGTTGAACGGTCAGCAAGCTGAAGCATCAATCTGTTTTTACATTTCAGGAACTTGCTCAGAATATCCGCACAGCGCGTCCCGTGTTGTACACCTTTTCCCTCACGCACGATGAAAATGATATAGATACTCTGAGTAAGTGGTCCTCCTGGGTGTTTTTGAACAAAAAACTGATCGGCTCAGTTGAACAGATCCTTGGTTGTGTGCAAGCATCCTTTATTTTTCTTCGGTTGGGTGACGTTGAGGCTGTTGTCAGTTGAACGATCTGTAATAATTGATTTGACTGAAGAACCAGTTACTAAACTTTCGGTTGCTGAGACCTGATTTGAGTTTGTATACGACGCCATATTTTGAGGTTTTCACTTACAAACTCCGTGCCAACAGCTACACAATAGGAACTCTTTTTACATCGAAGGATTACTTGTTCCGAGGATACAGTGAATAAAGGATAGAACGTCCAACTTGGTTAAGTAATATAACTACATGTAACAGGCATCGGGATCCGTATTTTGACCGTAGGTAGCCATATTAGTCGCTTTTTGAGCCCTTTAAGCGTTAATTTCAGATTGAGATCGAGTGGCAATTGCGAGAACGCAGGGATTAACCTAACCAGATCCTAATGCAGAAACAGCAAGGGAATAATCTAACGGTTTGGTGACAACAGGTGTAATTTTTGGAAGAAAGATGCCGTGCGGATGTGGTAGCATGCAGGTACTAGGAGCTTCTAGAACTTGTTGGGCTTTTCATACGATGTATTCGGGTAGGTAAAATAGTGAAGTAAACGTTCGGATTGGAGTGGGGCTGAGGTGGAATAACGAACCGAAGAGTTTGTTGAAAACAACTATGAAGACATGACAAGTACCCTCCTACGAAGGTGTCTGACTTGTGCAGTGTCAGATGAGGTAAGAGGAAGCGAAGACTTTGGTGAGATCTCCAGATAATCGCTTATCTGATTGAATGGAACCTGATTCTTTAGCCTATCGCTTTGCAAGGTGTGATTTGGCTTTTGCACCTAAGTTTTGCAGGCGATTCTCGCACCAAGGAAACAGAGGAATTACGCTATCGAACCACAAACTAGTGAGGTCTGGAAAGCGACGTGGCATTTGTGAGATCTTCAGGTTGTCAGAAAATGAAGATACATGTTTCGAGATTCCAACATTACACATTTAGGCAACGATGTTGTCCCCGCTCGCCGAGGAGAATTTGCTTACTATCCTTCGTGAAGGGTATAGCGACAAATGAGAAACGATAGAGTAGGATCACAATTGGACACAATGATCGGTAGAATCAAGGGAAGCAGTTGGAGAAAAATTACACTGAGAGGGAATCAAACTGAGAATGAGCTTAAGGGTATGTACACTCTTGAGGTCTCTGTCAGTGATACAGGTTGAGCAGTGGATAATTTATGACAGATCGGTTAGGAAGGGAAAACTTCTACTGCATACTCAGCACGTTGAAACCTACTGAACAATGAAGGCAGCTTTTTTTGCGAACCTAGAATTGCTCGAATTAAAACTCAAAATTAAATAGATTGAGTAAGTATAACCATGTAATTCTTAAGCTGTAACACCCTCTCCGCGCCTAGCTGCCGCGTCACCCGAACGAAGCACAAGAGCTGAGATATTTCCAGGTCACCCAAGCTTAGATAGGAGCAATCGAGATACCGGAGTTGGGTCAATAAGATCTCGTCCTAAGCACCGAGTTATCTAGAGCCGGAATTCGGTTGACTCAGCAGTTGAATCACAAATGCTAGTATGATCGAATCCATTGGGGAACAAAGAAGCAGGTTTGTTAACTAGGGTCACAATGATCGAAGGAACACAGCTCACCCATCGTTTGAAAAGAATGGGCGTAAGCACAGAAGCGGACTTCGAAACGGAACTTAAAGATGTAGTCGGACTGGATTTGGAGGTGCTGACTGTCGGACTCAGGAGAAATTAGAGTTTCAGGCGGAAATGGGGCACTTGGAATACATGAGGAGAGGAATCGATGCACAGGGTTAACACTGCAACAGGAAAATGTTAAACCTTAGGCTGGACGATCCGTTTAGTCTTTGGGTAGGGAGACAGAGATAGTAGTTCCGGTGGTTGCATGTGTGACCATGCGGTGACCAGGGTTTTTGCAAAGCTTGATTGATTCTTGCGCTTTCACGTCGCTTTCTAGCTGTTGTCCTTGGATTGCTGTAATGAGTGTCAAGATGAATGTTGCTGAGTTCTTCTCATCAACCTACTCTTGCTTTCCTCATCGCTTCAATCCAGTTCTACTTATCCGGGTACACCGGTTTTCAATTACGCTTAAGACTTGTGTTATATCTGCTGAATTCGCCGACCTGTGGTATCTGCTACTAGCCCGCTGCAGTGCCTAGTGCCGGAGAAAAAAGACAGAAGGGAACACAACAGCCATATTCCGAACAATCGAGTGCGGAAGCGTGAGTGCGTGCGAGTGCGAAAAGTAGGTCTCAGGCTATTCATTGGAAGGACACTGAACTTAGTCCAGTGCTGACGCACACGGTCTGGCTTTGGTACGAGGCTGTGACGTGCTGCATATTGCGGGGGCGTTGTCTGTCTGGTCAACATGTAGCGCAGCTGAGAGTCGCAGTAGATTCCGGGCATTCAGTGGTTGCTTTCAGGAAGCTGACCTTCCTGATAACCTGATTGTTCACCAACCTTTGCATAAGGTTGTACAAAATTTCGATTCTGGCTCTTTACGCACAACTCACTGGCTCGCAACGCGCTTCTGAATGTCCGCCCTCGGATATACGTCGATTTCAGCACCTTGCACATGGCATTACATTCGGCTCGACGCATGCCATTTGTGGCATACCTTCAGTGGTCCCGCCGATTTCGATTCCGGCCGCTGTTTTCATAATTTTGAGAAAGACAAACTGTTTTGCAATCTGCCATCACATCCGAACCGAATTTATCTGCAGTATCGCTATTCTTATATCTGCTGAGTACTGAATTATGTAAGAGCAGTTCATTATTCTGATTGCTGAGAGAAGAGTATTTGATATCGGTGAGGCTTAAAGTAGTCCTTGTTGGATACCGAGTGATGGTCTTACCAGAGGTATCCACACAACCAAACGAGTGAATGCTTACTTTCGGGGATTATTGAATGAGGTGACCCCGGTAAAGTGATTTGAACCAATCATCCTCCAAGGGAACGGTATTACGTTACTCCGTAATTGTACGATCCTGTGCTAAGGCCGTGATCTCAAAGCAAGGAATAGGTTACTTAGCCTAAACGCACGATCTAGGTGTCCTATCTGACAAGTAACGTGTAGTCTAATTCACCAACGGACGGTCAGTAGTAATTGCGGCGAAACCGAATTCTAAGAACTTCACCTGCGTTTGTTCAGTAGTCGCAATTGGGCAGTGAACAATATATTGAATTGGACTTGGGCAGACAGTACAGATAGGTAGACCGTGGTTATGCAGGAACTTAACAGTAAATCATGAGGAGAGTTAAAGAAAGGCTTACGGCTAGATTGAACCTTGGGCAGTTAGCAACACAGGATGGCACACGAAGGGCAGCGTGCTATCGGACAAATTAAGCGGGAAAATTGTTCAGTTCAAAGTGGAACAAAATTTCAACAAGTCCATGGATAAATGTAAACAAATCGTCTATAGAAATGGTTGTGGTAGAGTCGGCTTTGTATAAAATAGAACGGTTCAGTCTTGAAACTTAAGCAGTCACGGAAGGGTGATGAACTAGTCTGAGGAATAGGGAAACAAATAATTACGTCACGTAATTAACAGTAATTAAAAATATAAACATTTGGGTTCTACATGTATATCGTAAGGGTCCCAGTAGGAGTTAAACGGCGTGGGTACGCAATAACACCTTATTCGTCAGGGAGCCTGGCAAACTGATTCCTTTGAACCACGGAGTGTATATTCCTCAATAGACCCAACCGAATGTGTAATAAACCTTCTTTTATTCCGCTTTGCTTTAGCCGAAATCGCTCGAATTTGTGATCACGCCAGTAGTGCCCTGGATCTATATGAACTACGGGTGAAGAACCATGTGCCATGCGCCGGATCAACGGCGTTGCTAGATGAACCATTAAAGGATGACCGAATCGCACAGCCTTCGGGAGATCTCCTGTCCCATGATCTGATGGTTTTGGGCCTGGACGGTGAAGAGTCTTCGTCTTCAAATGTCCCCAGCAAAAATGGGCCCGAACTTCTCACGTTTTCCGACACCCCCAAGAAAACTTCCACTTCCAAGTACGACGAACTGGAAGATATTTTCGCCAGTATCACTTCCACCGGCCCAAGTATGTGTTGTTGTTTTGTTTTGTTTTTTAAGCGCATCACTTGAGCCAGAGTATTGAGCGTCTCTCCAAAAGAGCAGTATGGTTTATTGAAGATGGTCCTCACCCCTGTTTTGCCGGTTATAGGTTCCAGGACATAATCTTTGACCGAACTCACATTTTTTACTGGACAAATCAGGTTTTATGTTGTCCTATTTCGGCGTGTCGGACTTGCTAGCCTTGGTTAGTTAGTCGTGTAAGACACCGTTTCTCTTCATCAAGTCTGCATACATTGAAATTCTGAAATTTAATAACGAATAACATTTCGCCAACATCAATTTTGTTTTTTTTTCTACGACGACGTACTGTGCTTGATTTCACTCCGTTCTGCCCGAGGATTTGAATAACTGAACGTGTATCTGAACACACGGGGCGAGATGGCTTAAGTGGTTAGAGCGCGAATTTACTGACCGGAAGGTCCGTGGTTCGAATCCGACCTCTGCCTCTCGACTTCGCCTTTCTAGGCTTGGGCAACCTGGCAGTATCCCAGCTCTCGTGCTTCTTTCGCGTGGCATGGTAGCTAGGCACCGAAAGGGTGCTACAGCTGAACGGTAGGTAGTATCTGAACACATCATCCTGAATATCGCAGCTCGGTATCAAAGCGGTGCATATCTTTCCTTTTCGTGTTTATCTCATTTCTTCATTTGTTTGTCCAGTTCCGATTCGTTACTTATGTGGGGTTCTTGTTTTCAGCTTCACCACCCACCCTATCTTCAACATCAAATGTCGTGGCGGTAAATCCCTTCCTCGGTCCGAAATCCCCATCCATCAGTGCCCGACATCCGACAAGTTCGTCCTCATCCAGGCCACATTCCACGCAGAGCGACTCTCCAAAAACCCAAATGTTTGATGATCTGGATGCGTTGGGACGTCAGATGCTCGGTCTACCCACGTACGTTTTGTTATCCACCTATTCTCTTGCTTAGCTTCGACGCATCGCCCGTTATCATGCCCTATGTGACTGCGTAATACTTGAGAGCTCAATTTAACGTGTCGTTTGAAACCAAGCTCGTGCCGAGAATATAGCTGATTGAAACCTATGCGGTTGGGTTTATTTCTCCTAATTGGGTTTCTCCTGATCCATAACTTTTGCGAAACTAATACCGTGAGACAGACGGCAGCCATTTCAGCCTTATTCATCCATCCCACCAGCACCAACATGACGCACAACACCGCTCATCCAGCTCGAATGTTCACGAGCTGGGAGCTCAGTCAAGATGAACGTACTGTTGCGAACGCAGTAAGATAGTGGTAGTAGTAGTGTACGGCGGATACTACTGATGAGGCATGCGAGTAGTATGTGGTTTCTCGTAATTCCGCGTTGATCTGATGAAATGTGGGATTTACTACTGAATTTGTGGAATTGGTTTGTAGCATTCGTTTACAGTTGCATGGTAGTCAATGGATATCCAGGAATGCTCAAGAAAACGCGTTCAGGAAGAAGACGGATATTCAGTTTTTGAAAACAAGGTGCAAATGAGAGTTTTGCTTTCCTGTCCAATAGTCTGTAACTGTTCAGTTGGTATTTTCTAATATACACCTCCGAAGCGAAGGACTTCTCCCTTTCAGTAGTTGTTTCAATCAAAACTGCTCTTAGACGGCTACCGCTGCTCGGGTTGTTTTACCCTCTACGGAGGTCTCTCACTCTTCACACACTTCGTGTAGGTTTTTGCCTTGTACAAACTACTGAAACGGTCTTTGCGTTTCAATTAAATCTCCAGAGTTCTTTACTCTTGAACAAATGGTATGAGGTGACACCACTAGTGATCTTGATGCAGCCCTGCAATTTTTCTGTTTCCGATCCTTCAGATGTACGAAACTTATACATCGAGAGTTTCTGGAAAGATCTATATGGAATAGGTTTATTTGTTTTACCACTAAATAACATTTAGGAGGTTGTGTAAGATAAGCGGATCGAAATACGCGATGTCCCCACGTGAAAGAACAGCACTACAATCCTGCCACAGATTGTTAGGCTACATGTATCGGTTAACGTCACGGATGTTTTCCGATTCGTAGCCATCCCTGCCTGATCCCATTTTGGCTGCTTTCTACCCAGAACCAGATATCACTACTGATCAGCACTGTGGGTTCATATTTATTAGAGCCACTCATGACTGTCCCCATAGTTAGACCAATGGTGTTTTCTGATCATACAGAGACTTCCCTAACAGCCACTAATTGATGTGCAGTTTTATGTGTGTATGTTTTTTTTTGAGTGGTGCGTAACACTCAGCCGTTTCCACCTGTTCTGCTTTCAGCCTTATTCCTTGCCAGACGGACACATCGACCGCACCTACCCCTGTCCCCTTATCAGTACCATCCACTGATTCCACTATTGACCCAGCAGTATGGAGTGCGCTTGATGTACCTCTATCATCTATCCAGCCACACCCTTCGATTACGAAACCGCGCGTGATTTACCCATCCGAGTCCAATGACGGGTCTGATGTTCAGTTGGCTTTGCACTACACGAGCAATGAACCTGCCCCGAATGTTCGAGTGTTTGTGGCCACCGTGACCAGTCGAAGTCCACTGTCTGTAACCGACCTTCATATCCGTTTCGGGGTCAATAAGGTTGGTCCGCGTTCTTTCCATCTTCAGACGTTGAGTTTTCCCGTCAATATCCTAACGTTATTCTATCAACCTGGTTAACTACGAAGACAAATCCCTGTAACTGTTAACTAAAGCACAAAGATCTCAGTTCCCCATCGCTTTAACACATTGAACGGTGTATTCCTGCTGGAATAACTGTCATTAACTTCAATGAATACAGTCACTATCTGAGGATCATACACTGGTCGACCATTGAGTACATTGAGGTGACGTTTTGCGCCTGTCTTCTTCGCAGTTAGGTAACAACAGAACGCCAAATTGAAGCTATTGCACACGATTTACGAGAAATCGTCCGGTATGAAGGTGGATTTGCTCCTCGACGGCAATGTCATGTATCTGTTCAGGTCCCATCGCTATCTAATAGAACCTACACTACCCACAGCATGTGATAACAGTAAAATGGCTTGATGCGACAGTCGGTTGTTAATTCTGACTTTGAAGCTCCGCTATTGTCCTACATTCGTGACCTCGGTCAATCAGTTTAACCTCCCAGCGAAAATCCTTACGGTTCGAAAACTCTCGGACAACAATATCCAGTGATTCCATAATCGACGTAGATACTACTTCCAATGGTCAATTGCTAGCGCGTCAAGTTGTAAAGATACTGTTAGGTGTATAAAACTGGCATTCTTGAATGGGAGTCAGTAGCATTTTAACGCGTGTCCCATCGAAAACTGGATGCCACTTTTATTAAAATCTCTTTGTTTGAAAAAAACGGTTCGCTTTTCAGGGGGGAGACTACTCGTCGTGTTGGGGTCTCAAACAACGTAAAACGAAGATGGCTCGCAAGTTATCGGAACAAGAGATGGGAGGATTAGTAGTTCTGTAACTGGGATATACTCTGATGACCAGGTTGGATGCACGTGGATCTAGTTTCCGGAATTTTTCTACCGGTTGTGCTTATCTGGTAGCGTGGAAATAGAATCTCCAGCAGCGAGGTTCTGGTATGCTAGTACTAGGGCCCTTTGCTTCATCGTGAAATTTCTGATCCAAGCTCATGTCGTCTTGAGATCCACCGGTTCAACGACCACGAAGTAGGAAAATTCTGTTGTCGCTTATCTATCCGCTGCTATGTAGGGCCCTTACTCCGTACATTTTCACAGTAGCCTTTACATGTAAAACATGTCTATAGATACTGTTATGGTTTGCTACTTTGCTTAACTTACTTTAACCAAAGTTTGTGATTTTCAAATTTGCCACACAGCCCATGTCTCTTCGGCAGCTCACAGCGTCAGGACACAGTTTGGCTGCCTACTCTCCATTCCTCCCAGCCGGTGCAATCAATCAAGTGGTCCTTGTTTATGATCCAACCCGGGCAGTATGTGCTGAATATTTTGCTCAGATATATCTCTATATACTTGCCGTTTTCTTCACGCGACCAGCCTTTGGTTACACACAATTTTACCCGTAGCTTAATCAGCTGTTTTAGTGCGTTTGCCCAATCAGAAGCTTCATGCTATCTTTCAACCGTGTTTGATAAAACAAACGAATATTTGGGAATTGGATGACATGGCACGTGAATGATGCATCTCGCTCTGAATAATGTGAGGTATCAGAGCCAAACAAGTGTGATGCCAACATGATCAACTACGCAACAAGCCAAATAAACTGGGGATGTAAAACAGAAAATCTACACAGCATCATTCTGGATTACGCAAAGTCACGTGATTCCTTCAACGACAGCTGGCGTTTCGTGATCTACGCAAACCCAGTGCATTGCCATATCACTCTTGCGGTCCAAATTTATTTTCATGCGTTTTGTAGCCGTTTGGTGCTCGTCTCAATGTGTCACCTGTTATTATTAGGGTACCGTTCAACAACCAAGTTATGTTTTTTATGGTTTTGGGCCCCAATAATCCTTCATCGTAGGCATAAACTAGGGCTCAACAGAAGTCATGCCCCATCTGTCGAATCTTGCTGGTGTTCAGCTGTTACAAGAGGTCTGTCTTTCCTATCTGAATTAATTCTCAGGCTAAGTCACTCGTCGAACGGTGGTTGGCGCCAGCTGGTCCAATTCAATTCTGTGTCCACATTCATACCATAGTTGTTGTGTCAGCCAAATCTTCAGTTTCACGTCACGGACACTATGTGATACCCAGCCCAGTAAATGACCTTTTCAATGAAGGCTGTAGTTTAACAATAGTTAGTCTCCTCACTGGAATACAAATCACTGCTGCACGAATCCAAACTGTGCGACAGACGATCAGAAATAACTGAATGAGTACTATCAGAATCACCACGTTAGTGCAAGTATTTTCCTGTGGCATCACAACGAAGGGCAAGTGTTGTAAGTTTGTCAAGCCAGAACCTATAAATTTTGTGTCTCGATCGAAAATTCACAGCTTATGAAAAGTTTGGAAAACACGTTAGATCCATTGTTTGACAATATTTTGCTTTTGATGTAGAAGCTTTGTCAGGCTAGGTGGCTGCTTTACGGGGTTCGCCGAGACTGATGAAAAACCACCCAGCATGTTTTCCTTCTTTCTAAATAGTCACTTTCTGTCACTACCCTATCCCCACCCAGGAATAGTTAAAGTTGTGCGGCAGTTAGGTTGAGGGCTACAGTGTGTGGCTGTTGGTCTGTTCGCCGAGCTTGGCAGTTGTATTGCAAACGTTTCATCACCAATCAAGGTGACATGGTCAGTGCAGTGTCTCTGTGAATCTCACTGGATAATCTTTTTCACTCATGGTGTTTTTGAGCACTTTTGCCCCATCTGCACTGTCGTGAGTAAAGCCTATCGAGAGGGCACTTCACCACAATCGTTCATGTTCGATTCATACAACAAGTGCCCTTTTCAGGTGTGTTTCCTGAAGGCTTCGTGAGCAAGCAGCTCATTGTGTTTTTTAGTCAGAAGCACATCAAGAAAATCTGTTCTGTCGTCCTTTTCGACTTCTGTGAATTTTAAATGTGAATACCATTGAGCGTGTGATAAAATTACTCTGTTTGGTTGTGGTCGGCGCATATGAATGACTTCGGAGTTTAGGTTCCTAATGGCTTATAAATATACCTGCAAAATGAATGAGGACCAGTACGTTGATGTAGCTTCTCGACGACACCTGCCAGAGGTAATGTATATCTCCTTTCGTCGTGGCTATGTTCAATATTGTAGTCCGTCATTAGGATTTGTTGTTCAAACAATGGGTCAACAACCTGCGCACATTTGGTTACAAGCCAGAATTAATAATGATAATAATAATAATATTAACTAAAAAGAATCTGTGACCCAACAGTGCACCGTCCCTCTGAGAAGGGTTTTCCTAGTTCGTGGGAGTGCGTAGTTGAGCAGGGTGTCTCTAATTTCTGTATGAATTTTAGAGACGAACCCCTAAGACATTCAAAAGTATCCTTGAGGGGGGTTGAGGGTATATGCCGAAATATGTTTTCCGAAACTGATTTGTGCTGTGGTTAAAGTGGGCTTTCACACTACTGAGGACGTTGCAGATTATGTTGAAGATCTGGAAAATGCAAAACGCAATGGGATTTAGGACGATCGGTTTGGATGCGTAGAACTGAATGGAATATAACCGACGCTTTCAATTGAGGACAGATTCCCGACTGCACTTGACCGAGTAACGGGCTTTCACTCATGAACGGGTTAGATAGTGTTAAGTTTGGTAAAAAGGTTTACCTAAATGGCGATTATACATACATGTAGTGGACGGAACCGTCTATCACCAATACCGATACGAAGTTTGATGCTTTCAAGTCGTGTTTTGTTTAAACCCGAACCTCCATATAAACAGAAACTCGGAGTAAAACACAGCTTTAGTTTTTCCCAGTAGTGATATTCCGTTACAGATATGCTGTCGTGTGCACACTAATTTGGTTTTAACTCAATGCCAAACTGAGTCCGGCTGATTAGCTCATTCATGATGGTCTTTTCTAGCTGAATATTCTGTACAAGCTCGCCTCATGTCTCGGTTGGTACGGTATTCTAAATATCGTAGTACACTGTCCAGACGTCACACACTACCCAGCAAACCAAGTTAATGTGTAAATGAAAGTAGTAGACGCGTTCCATTCAATTTGGGTTCATGTAGACCATGAGGTTTGACGGCATCTCTGGTAATGCGCCTCCTTGATGAGCCCCAAGAAGGACGAAACCGGTCGTGAGCTGTCGAGTAGTTTTCAATCCTAACCGCATGAGTAATGTATTATGTCTAGAAAGTAATTGCCATACGCTGTTCACATGCCTACTTCCCAGTATTTTCGAACCATCTTAGGTCTACTGCCAATATTTTACTCATTTTCTCACCTGATCTGTTTCAGCCCACAATCGTGATGAAGTTTCAGGTATCCTTCATGCTGGACAATGAAGCTGTGCTGGAGTCTGGTAAAGTGGATCTCCCTGTCATCTGAGCTCTAACGCGAAACTCGTTAAGGGTGTGACTTTACGGTTGCTGTCCTTCAACCTTTTGGAACGCTTAGTGTTGTGCAGATTGATTCTCTCTGTGAATCCTGTCCGTATTTCTCGCCTAGTTTCATATGCACCTTCTGTGGTTTGTGGATTGTGTGGCTTTGCTTTTTTCCCATTGATTTCGGTTACTTGTTTCTCTTTTTCAGCAAGGTTTCTTCTGACAGCTTTGTGATCAAAACCCCGATGTATCCTTGCTTTCTGTTCCTCCGCCCTTGCTCTGTTCCAAGACCGCATTTGATCGATATTTCAGCTCCGAGATAACACGCTTTTCGGAATACATACTTTACTCGAATGAATGGCTGGTATCGAGGAGCCTACTTGGTGTTTACACATGGAATGTATGATATGAAGGGGACGAGATGGATCAGGTGGTTAGAGCGCGAATTTACTGACCGGAAGGTTCGTGTTTCGAACCCGACCTCTGCCTATCGACTTCCTCTGTCTAGGCTTGGGCAACCTGGCAGTATCCCAGCCCTGGTGCCTCCTTCGCGTGGCATGGCAGCTAGACACCGAAAGGGTGCTACAGCTGAACGATTTTCTTCCAGACCAGAATCTGTCACCATCATCATCACGGATCACACTGCAGGAAACTTGAGTCACTCCAGTTGAATGGGATCCATCTTAAGGCAAATAAAGTAGACAGGCACTAACAAAGTATTTTTATTCCATCTTTAAACTGAGGGGATGGGAGTTATTCAGAACCAGCAGCTCAGTTGCACCTGAGGGGGGAAATACCTTCACGTATTTGCGAGACTTTTGGAGGTTCCGAGTTCATTCAGCGCTCCGTTGTGGGTTGAAAATCCGATTGGGCAATTTCAGGTGGCCACCTAAATTGCTGTTGCAAGTTTCAGCCCAACAAATCAAGCGAGCCGTTTTTATCATAGGTTGTTTGATTCTCCAGAGGCACTCTTGGGCCGCATTTATGCACATTCCCAGAATGTATCGTTTCCTCTCTTCCCCTGGTTTTCTGGACCTACCATGCCTCCGCTAAGATGCTCCTTTTCACCTGACTTCTCAGTTCATCTAGTTGTATTGTGCTCCAAAACAGGAGTAGCTTCGAACAGCTTTACCGCTTCTTATCGAGATCCTGTGTTCAGATGAAGTTGATAGCGTCGTTCCACATCCAGAGCTTCCATTCTCCCACAGGTTTTCGGTAGCGTATTCCATTGAGAGTCAGCATCAAATTTTATGTCCGAACTTAACTTCGGTAGGTACTTTTGGTGGGTGTGCTTCAGTGACCGAGCGAGGTTTGCGCATTTAACGCCTCCTTGCAAACAGAAGTAGCTATGGATATGCGCGTGATCAGAACCCACATTGGTGTTCCAGAAAGAGCAGCAGTTAGTAATTCATCGAAGTTACGTGTAGCTAATGGAGATGTCCATCTGAATCGAAGATTAGCTCGTATGTGGGTGATAATATGGTCAGGGTTTCCCGGTTGTTTCGACACTTTACAGAACTGGCGTATGGCCAGCATTCAGCTGCAGCGTGCTTTGACCATTGTCCGTGCGCCGGATTTCAGTCCAAGACGATTACCCAATGAAGGACTTAGTGTACCTACTCTCGCCTTGGCGAACACTATGTCTGAGCTCTTAGCCTATCATAACAAAGCAAAGGTCGCCCGTGAGTGTATCTGGTCTGTAGTCTGTTGAGGCGTAAGTAGATAAGATGAACAGTTAGCAATTACCAGACGTTGCCAAAGGAACCGCAAACGTGCGACCATAAACAGGCAGCGATTTAAGGGATGACCCTTCAGCTCGATGACCTAAAACAATACAGCCCTCAGGTGAACCAGCTGCAGTGGCTGCTACATCACCTTTGTCGCAAGGGCCCCGTCACCTTTATTCTTTTCTTCACAATAAGGCTTTCGAGTAAATCATTGTTGCACAGCAGTGAAGCATCGGTGGTGAACACTGATGTCATGCTGTCGATGATGATGAAGCTAAAAGTGAAGGACCTTACCAGAAGTTGTACCCTAAAGGAATAATGTGACGTCCTCAAGGTCGCAGTGGGCTTCCACAGGTTTGTTTCTTAAGCTGTTCCCAGTTCGATGTCCCTTGTTGCTTAAGTGAAGCAAACTCGTTGGCACAGAATAGCCCGGACTCCCGTGGCTTAGATACTTTTATGTCGACGGCAAAATGTGATATTCTAGTATGCTTCGGTCCCGTTGAGGAAAATGATACCTGAAAACAACAACTTTTTTATAAAGGGAAATACTGCAAGGTCACTGAAAAGTCTCCGACATCCCGAAAGCGGTTTCGACCTCGGGGCTCGTCAGATAGGCGCGGTTCCTCAGTTTCGGTCAACCAGTCGTGGGCTAACTTTCCAGCAACCTCATGAGTAATTTCCTCCATGAAAATATACTGCAATATCTCGAATATCGTACCGACTGAAACATGGGGTGATCTTTGTGCAGCACATTCATTCGAAGGATATGATAAACGAGAGACTCAGTTGAGTCTACCGTGAAGACTAAATTGATACGCAAATGAGTGTATTTGTCAAAGAAAAACGGTTCTATTGGTCTTTATCAGGTTTATCCGATCAAACTCTCAGACGCGGGGTATTTCGACATTAAGGGGCACTGGCAGGCAGCCAGTACATTCAAGTTTGACACTGGTCCGTTCGTGATCACCTCCGGCGTGCGCCACCCCCGTTGGCTGGAGTGTTTTACTCAAACCGTAATTACGTGTATAAATCGCTAAGATTTCGTCCTGTAAGTGAAACCAATCTGTGCTGAAAAGCTGAGAGGCACTGTACAGCTGTTTCACCCCTATTGGTCACGAGCGGTTCGTGGCTGAACGGTCAACTTTTCAAACTACTAGCCGGAAGGTCGAGACTCTCCGGAGTTTCGTGAGATGCGCACTGCTGTTGATAGGGGGTTAAGTAGCTGTACAGTGCTTCTCGGCTTTTCAGCATATATTGGCTTCACTTGCTGGACGAAATCTCCACACAAAAACCCAAATCTCACACCACCAACAGATCGCTAAGAGTTTCCGCCCACCAGCAGCGTGCACCGTATTGTCACGTGCTTTCACCTGAGAAGACCGATCTTCCGGCACCCCGTTACAGTTTTCTGGTTTGGCCTGCTATTCCCGTAAGAATCAGCTGTCTCATCGACCTAGCCACCCATACGCATCAAATGTGAGACTAAACTTACTGTGACCCCCCATTTATGCAAGTTAGTGTACCTCGAAAGAACATTCACCTGAGTGGATTAGACTAGTTGTTCCTCATCCAGTTCGCATACAGCCTAAAGACAACTCTAGCATGAGATCCCCTGTTCAAAATGTAATCTATGTCGTGTACCAAGCTTATTGATTGCACCACGCACGTAGCAAATTTGTTCACTAAAAAACTGATGGCATGAACTCAGTTATTAATAACTGTGATTTACACAACTGTGCATCGAAAATATCCTGTTGACTAAATAAGGATAAGCATACTCCACCAGGGATGTGTGCAATTTCAGTGCGAATGAATTGACTCCCCAGGACTTTCAGGTTTCACCATCGGGCCGCCTAGGAGCCACAAGTGGCTGTGCAGAACAGCTCTCCAAGGCACGGGACCGTCCGACGTGCAAATAATTTGTCTTATTCGAAGTTACTACGGAGTACGGTATGCTTGGCTACTTCATTACCGCTGATTTGATATTCCTGAACTCCTGGAACTATTTCACAAGCTTCCGCTGATAGTTCGCATTTTGCTGACCTGTAAATCTGTGCTCCGTTGTGATGTATGGAAGACATTTAGCACACAGCTTGATGCCTTGATGTCTCAAACGAACTTCCGAATTCCATTTCCATATGATGTTTCAGGCTCTTTTTATGGCAGTTTGCGTTCATAATCTGTTCTTTGCATGTCGAGTTCAGTCAGTTCGGGCTCATTCATGTGTCGACTGTCCTAACGCTCTGGATTGCACCCGTATCGCTCAACAATCATTTCCAACTTGTTCACTGCCCAACCATGAATCGACAGTAACTTACGGCAATCTAAAGAGCCCAGGTGGAACAGATTATATTTTGGTTTGATATTATTATAAGCTTCTAAACTATGGCCCGACGCTTAGTTACCGCCACCAGTCAAAATGGCTGACCGCTTCCCAGTCTGGACGGTAGATATCCCTTTGTTCTTTTTGCCGCTACACTTCGCCAACGCTTTGCCACCCGTTGGGCTACTTACGAAACACGTCTTCTTCGATGGAAGCTATGAAGTTGATTTTTGAATAGGGTTTCTTTAAGAAACGATACTGCTAGCAGCTGAATTGTAAGGCGGCATTCATGCAGCACATTCAGCTGAAGGAGAACATCATAAAAGAGATACTCAGCTATGATCCGGTTGGGTCTCCCGCTGAGACCAAATTGGTGCGCAAATAGGTGTATTTCGCCTAACACTTGACAGGCTGGGATGGTTCAATTGCTTGTAAACAAAATGGTGTGAGAGTGGAACTCTAGAGAACGTCTCGTTTCTGAGGTTCCGCAGCGAGTCTACAACGCAAAGGCCGCCTCTATGTCCGCTTGGGCCAAGCCCGACGTATTCCATGTACTTCCCACTTCGCTGCCACAATAACCTATGAATTTTAATGAATTTTTTTAGCAGTACTGCTCCTGAAGGAATTCACGAATTCTTCATGTTTACTGGTCCATTCGATCACCTATCTGAACCAGTAAGAACGAATGTTTGACTGACAGTTTCATTCTAACGAAACGGATTACTGCCGCTTTTTGTCTGTGGATCATCATTCCTTTTTGAGTTGCAGTGCGACAATATCGTAAGCGATGACAGTAACCATAAAACACACTGTGAGTGTGGTCAATAAGGCGCTACGCTGCGTCCGCGTGGAACGGAGAAACCACATGACAGACACTGATTACCGTTGTTTCATGAAGGTATTGATCGTGGCATGAACTATGTGAATCAAAATCACTGACCTCGAGATTTACCACATACCAGTTGCATGTAGCACCTTAGAAGCACACCGTTGGTTCTCACTGGATCATGCAAAGATCATGTTCTTCCTGTTTCTAGAATGTAGATACTCTTGAGCTGAATTTCCCCTGAGTCCAGAGCTAGTCAGTTTGTTGTGTGTTATTGGCTCGGGGAATCCGTATTGATGAAATGCCTCAACTGCACAAACTGCCATGGTCTAGAAACATATGTGAGTACTTAACAGTTCATATTGAAGGGACGAACTGGATATCAAAGTACAGAAGGTTGGAAGTGTTAGAGAGACAATGAAAGCTGATAGTTCCCTGTCCTCCAGCAGCGATTTATCCGCAATTTTATCCGTATCGGATTCTCGGAGGACTGTGGAGAGTATATCCAGATATTTCAATCAAAGCTGAGTTCAGTGAGTAATTCACCCTCAACCACACAACCTGATCTACCAAATTTCTTTGTCAAACGGTTCTTCATTCTGAGCAAAATGATTGACACTCAGTTAAATTAACCCTTAACTGCACGCAACTGATAATCTGTTTAAAGCTCCATAAATTATGTTCATAACGGGCAGTTTTCCCTTAAATCATCATAAATACTGAAAGACATTCGAACTTGCGTTTTTATTCTTCAGTGAAATCAGCCGCTGTCAAAAAGCGGAGAACCACTTTGCAGCTTAGGAGTTCCCCATGGTGCGCACCACCATTATCTCAAGAAAAGCGAACCAACCTGTTCATCAGTCCACGATTGGCGGATGAACATTGGAATCAGCTTACACTTGGACCCAATATACACTCACTCTTCCTTCACTCACATTGTACGCGTCACTTGATCCAATGCTGGATAGCGTCCTGGTGATAACCTTTAAGTTTCAAGGCCATCCACATTCAAATCGTTCAGCTGTAGCAACCCTGTGGTGCCTAGTCGCCATGCCACCCTGTGGAGGCACGCTGATTGAGATGATGCCAGGTTGCCGAGGCTTAGACGGGAGCAGTCGACAGTGCAGAGGTTGGGTTCGCACCACGGACCTTGACCACTGAGCTGTCTCGAGTCCAGTTTTGAAGGCCAGTATTTGCCGAATATTTCCCTTTTTTGTGCACTATACAAGTTAATTAGGCGATTTCGGATCTCGACACAGAATCGCGTGACGCAGTATACCTAACTGAATAATAACCGGCACCTCATCATAAGCTTAAGCAACTCATGATGCTGATAAGTCATTTGTGGTCGGACAATGAGGTGCTCAACTATTGCAAGTTCATGGGCTCGAATCTCCCGGAAGACTCATCAGATATGCACTGCTGAATATTACCAACAAGAATGAAACGACCGTACCTTGCTTCTCAGCTTCCATATACAGTGGCATGTAATCTCGGTTGAAATAGCTTTCTTGAAAAATAGAATATATAGTGTTGTCATGTGGTGTTCAATTTCCACTTATCTGTTTGGGAAACGTTTGAGGGGGTCTTCTTTATAATGAGGGAGTCTTGTAAGTTAATGGCAGCAATGCTAATCGGATTTGCATACGGAGGTAAGTGTAGCACACTACTTCTGGTGCCATGGTTGTAGATTCTGTTATCACCAACATTTGTTCACCTGTTTATTATCTGAACTTGGGAATTCTCTTCGCCTAAGAAGAGACTACATGAAGACTGGAGGACACTGCATGCGGAACCCCTAGTCTTCACCTAAGAAGAGACTGCATGAAGACTGGAGGATCCAGTCATTGAAATAAACGCTTCACTGACCCGTAGCATATGCTTACTTAACAGGACACTGCATGCGGAACCCCTAGTCTTCGTTAGGTGATAACAAAATCGTCCTCCAGGGATCAGGAACCCAAAAAAGCATTCACCATAATGTTGGCCTTTTCTTTCAATTTTATTTCAAAGTAACTGAATGGATTTCAGAAACTTTTCTAGCCGACCATGTGGTTTATGAGGGTACTTCAGACGGTTGCAACACTGATGGTGGAATCCGGTGACAATCACTTACTGAGTAAACTTTCTTGATGGCACGCCTAACGAGAGTATCACTTTTGTGGGAAGTTAATTACACGTTCGTGAAAGACTTGAAATAGTCAAAAGATTGCAGCAAATAAACGTGCCCTACCTCGTGGTTTGGCATGCGCTTCACACCTGCAAAGTGTAAAGTGCTAATGCAAGATTGGGTGGGATCGAACCCTAGCCTCATGCTTGTGGATGAACCGATTGAGGTAGTAGACAAATTTGCTTACCTGGGCGGCGGTATCAGTCCCGGTGGTCTCACGAAAGATGAAATTTCCATCCGGATTGGGAAGGCCAGAGCAGGTTTTGCGAACCCACGTCACCTGTGGTGTAGGCGTGACATCAGCTTATCCGTCAAGGGTCGAGTTTACAATGCTGCGGTGCGCTCCATATTACTATATGGATCAGAAACCTGGCCGCTGCGCGCCGAGGACGTCAAAAGACTTTCAGTGTTTGACCATCGATGTCTTCGGAGCATTGCCCGAATCTGGTGGGAACACCGGATCAGCAATTCTGAAGTACGTCGAATGGTATTCGGGAGAAATAACTCACCCTCGATAGATGAACTGATCACACTGCACAGGTTGCGTTGGCTTGGCCACGTGCTGCGTATGCCAGTCGACCGACTTCCTCGAAGGGCTCTTTTCGCCCAACCATGTGAAGGGTGGAAGAGAGCCAGAGGCGGTCAAACAATGACTTGGCAGCGAAGTATGAAAGCCATTACCAGCAAACTCAGCTGCGCTGGTCACTGCCGTCTTCCTGGATGGGGACCCCGAGACGGGCCACATCAATGGCTAGAGACATTATCAGACATGGCCCAGTCGCGCCCTCAATGGCGCTCGTGCATCAAAGCTTTTGCCTTCAATGCATAGCTCCTTTCCCAACCCCTCCCACTTGACAGCCCACTGACAGTTCTGGATTTATGCACCAATTTACCAGCTCGCGCGTGCAATGCGCAACTACCTACCCCCCAAATCATCGATGAACGAAACTGTGGCAACTGCAACCACTGTACGACGAGTACGCGGTTATTACAGCTGACAATGATGATGATGAAGTCCAGTTATCATTAATTATACGATTCTCTTCGAGACTTTATACGTCTCTGTTTTCTTCTGTTCTGAGCACAAAAGGTTCCCGAAACTATTGTTGATTGCCATTAAACCTGGAGAAAAAACTGTCTGTTGTCAGGCATATAATCAGGCATAAATTACTTATATTTTGCTCATATAAACTGGTCAGTTAGGTTTTACCATCCAAATTTAACAGATATATGTAAACTCGTGTTCAGATTTCGGAGAAAATAAAGAACTCTTTCAACGCTTCGTTTCAGACCTTCATCAACCTCGAACTGGGCGTAAAGGTAGCTTTACGGCTGAGGGCTTGATGTATTGAAACGAGCCCCGTGTGAGACTCGATCACAGAAGAATATTTAATGAAAAACCACAAGGAAGTTTGGGATTTTTTATTTTACTTTTTGGAGACCAGGGGGGAATCTACGTTAGGTTAAAAAGCTGGAGATAAATGTAACCAGGTAACCGGAAGTCCTTCGTGTTTGCCACTCAAGTAGTTTGTGGGTTACTTGAGGCTACCACTTGTTGTTGGCTATGGACCGAATCAGCGATGCAAGGCGTCGATGACTGATTCAGTAACTACTTTGGGTCTATTCGGTTTGTCATCACGCGTTCGTGATCGTTGCAGTTGACGAAGCGTTACTGCCCGTGAAGGTTTGACTCACGTCCGTGCATTCCAACTGGTATTACTTGCACGACAGAGACGGTTGTGATCCACCGAAATAAGCTGCACTTGCGAGTTCAAAAACGCTTTTTATGGTCCATTCTATTGGGGTGACCGACACACGAACCCGATGCACATGCTTCACGTGCGACCAGCACTCTTGCACGCCGATGGAACATGTGACCACAGTTCCTTCGGTCATTCGACCTTGGCAGGTCACACGGACTGACCGACACACGAACCCCATGCACATGATTCACGCGCGACCAGCACTCTTGCAGGCCGATGGAACATGTGACCACAGTTCCCTCGGTCATTCGACCTTGGCAGGTCACACGGCTACATGGCATTTCATTTTCAAACCCTAAAACTTTGTTTTTCATTTGACTACCTCGTATCAAGGTATTTTAGATTGTTTGATTGGCTTGCCTCAATCTCTGCATGTTTGCAAAAGCTAGCTGAATCTATCCAAAAGGACTCTGCTCATATACCAGTTGCTGAAGGGACACTATACTAAGCTATCGGTTTCCAATTGCTAGTCATTAGGTAAAGAGCAATCATTGCGGATGAAACGCTCATTTTCACATCAAACTGAGGTAAAAATTAAACCCAAACGAACCTCATATGTGGGATATGTTCTGAACAAGTGTGTTGCGTAAAGCTCGTCTAGCAGGTTTTGAAAGTGTCTAAATGTTTGATTCACATCCGAAGTGTTCATTGGTTAGGCATGTTCTCCAACTATTCATCGTCGATTCTCCCAATTTTAACATGATGTTGAATGTCAATATAGTTAAAATCACTATTGACTATGCATTCATTTCGATTTCGCTGCCTTAATGTGCGAACGAATGACTAACTATACACACGCCCAGAGTGTTGTTCAAGGGAAAGATCAGTTGGAAAAAATTCCTCAACCAAGTCTACCTGATCGGTCAGTAAGAAGGCTGTCTCATAACTTTCATCGGCTTCATGAGTAACCTCCACAGCCGCACTCATGCCTCACACACAACGTCCAACCAATGAGCGCCGTGACCTTGAGTCACGCCAATGCGCGTAGTGGCTCACTCATATCGTTCTCATATTGGTTGGATTTTCATGCCGGTCAAACAGGTGACTCTAAAATGATCATCGTCGCTCTTCTGCTCTTAGTCAGTATCTTCTTCATCCGTATATACCTCATCCGCTAGCCGCGTAGACTGTCCGGATATTCTTCAGCCATTTGAGTCTTTTCCTGGTAATAATCTGAATTCTCTCTAGAAATGGGAAGTGGTGAGTTACCAAGTACAGGCCTGAATCTTCTCAAATTTTTACTTTGTTTCATCGGCATGCTCAAATCCTGTCAGTCTGTGACTAGCTGCAATGGTCCGCCACTATAATAATAAGTTGGACACTAAAATCCTTCGTCTACGTAGGCTTTCAACCTAGCAACGAAGTTGAGTTTGTCAGCATGGCATACACAAAACTGTTTTTTCTGATGCCACACAAGGTAGTTTTTACCCTCAGTTCTTTCCTCGACACCAACTACTTATTCAGCCGCGAACCGAAATCATCAAAAATTAAAAACTTGCTGTATTTATGACCACAGTTTCGTTCGTTCAAGAGGCGTAGGCGGGCTTGGTTAATTCTTTCTAATTTCCTTCTGAGATACCTAATTTGAGCGACTTCAGGTTGAACAACCGTAAGGGAATATTCACTGCTGTTTTGTTGCAAGTTGGTTGTTTCATCGTTTTTGAGCCAGTAAGCAATGACTAATTTGCCCCGTCAACTTTACATATTAATGCCTAAGCAGAGAGGTAATTCCGTAGTCAACGGCTTCTTTTGTGACATGCGTTGTGAATTAACTCCTTTCCCGTAGAACTATACATAACAATTAGTGAAGGGCGCGTTTCACCATCCTGTCATTCCATCTGTTTCTCCTCTAGAACAATGCGGAATAAACTCTTATCAATCTTCCATTTTCACAAACATCCAGGGTTATCACAGAATAATCGGAGACTTCTGCGTGCGAGTGAGAAAACTGTTACGATCGATGCTCACCGAAGACGTTAATGCCTAGTTACATGTTCTGTGGAGTAATATTCGGTGCTATGACAGTCGCTTAGCTCGGGCATGCGAAAATCTTGCGCAATGAATTTAATGCACGTTTACTTCAATGTTCCTCATAAATTTCAATGCGTCTTTGATAGACTAATGAGGATGATTTACATGGTTCGAAATTCTAGGTAACAACAGGGTTTTTGTCTGGGAATATTGATCATTTAGATGCCTCTTATGGGGTAGGAGCTCTGCGTTTGTTTTCGTTTCAAATCGCACTCTTGAACAGGACCGATTTCCACTCACGAACTCCAAGTGAAGTTCACTCACCTCCATCAGAATGCACAGTTCACAACATCTCTATAGCTGAGCAGAACATATTAGCAGTGAAATTTCGCACGATGTTTGATTGATTTAGTTTAAGGCGATGAATTCGACCATAAAATTAGTCGAATTACATGTCTGTCTATGTCTCCATGAAAAGTGTGCCTACTGACCTCGCTTTGGGTCACATCGATGTGCATAGTTCCATTTTGCTACTCAAACCAACTATGAAGTATTTTATGTCGCTCAAAACTGAACAACTGTGTGTATTTGAACCGAATCGGTGTAAATCTAACAGAAAATGTTCTAAAGAGAGGAACATGTATTTTGAGGGAGTTTAAACTAGGTGGGAGGATTAGATCTCCTAGAACCACCGACAGATGCCAATGGGCCATAATACTACTGAATACAAAGAACACTGACTGTCCATCCACTGTATCAAACTGGTGGGTATTCTGATACCTTTAAAAGATAGAGTCTTCCATAACAACCTAAGTTCACTGCGTGATGAAGATCTTGGGGATAGCCTACAAGAACACGGAGCACAACCCCCACCCACCTAGACAACCGTGTTTTCATCTGAATGCACCAAGCATGTAGATCCAGTCAAAAAAGACCACCTCCAAGAGAAGATGAATTTTCAACCTCTTCTCCAGAAGATTGTCGCACATCAGGTTGCGGCCGATGAGAAACTCTCTTCAGAGGGACCTTATTTAGAACGGATACTGTATATAATCCAAGGCAGTTCCTCTAACAATGCATAATACTGTCACAAAAATGCTCGTCTCGTAAAGATAGAACACGCTAACCAGATAAACCTATTCTCATGGATGTGTTAGAAACAGATGCTTCTTGTGGTGCGTTGTGATCGACCGTATCGACATACTTCAGGAAATGGTTCTGATAGGGACTGCTGTTTGGGGTCGATATAATCCAGCTCCAGTCGGGCGTGAAAGGAAATGGGAGCTTTTCCAGATAAGCATCGCCAAAAAATCAACCTTGGTCACCCAAAAAAGTTTAGAAAAAAGGATATGAGATTTGTAATTTAGTGCTTATTGAAGAGGGTGAAGTTGGGACATGTCATTAATAATTTGCATGAAAAGGTTCGTTTTTCGGTACCTTTTAGTTTCCCGGCAGATCCCTCCGGAAATCCACTGCTGGGGAAGGACTCGCCCTGCGTGGTTTTCACGGCGAGATAGAATAGAATTACTGTCCTAAACTCCATCCTAGACCGCTCCACCCAAGTTCCCTTTTGAAGACCGATTTCTTGCGGACACTGTCGGGCATTACACCTCCACCTGTCAGAAACAGTTGAAAGCGTCATTTGGTGGCCATCGCTGCTGATGGATCACTCCGTGAGTTTGCAAAAACTTATTGCCGTCTCCTTGACACGAACGAGAGTTGCAAGCGTCAGAAAGTTCGCTTAAGGTTTTACGTCCGAACGGAGAAAATGTTTGCAGGAAATGAGCCTCGATGCGGATAACGAATTGTTTTCATCAAAAATAAGTCAAGGTTGTGTATGTATACTAAATTGGAGCTGGCAAAAGGTGGCGGGGCTTAACTTTTCGCACATGCGCTTCTTGTATGAGTGGCGGGTCTTATCTGGAAAAGATCCAGGAAATATAGTAGGATCTGAGAAAAATGCCTTGGATACCTGTGACAAATGGAGGTCACAGTTCACCTACTTTTTGATTGCCTGCGGTTGTAGATTGTAACTACAGGTCAAATATGTTGACGCTTGAATTTGACCCAGCTCCTGATGCATCGGACAAAAACTGGGATACTGGCGAACAATAAAAATGGGAAAATTCAAGAGGAAAGATTTGGGTTTTCCAATCAGCTAAATTTTGACGTAAGCCACGGCATCTTTTGTTTGAACTGGAATGTTCTCTCCCTATAGTCGCACTTTAATAAACTGAAATAGATTTATAG